ACAATTGAACCTCTCCCCTTTGCGCAAAGTGAATTTTTAAAATCTCACTGGTCTCTGGTTGTCAATTGTTTTATGTTCGGGTGGGTTGTTGTGTTTTCTCTGAGTCCCTAGGTTGAAAATACCGAACATATTTTGTTTTTGTTTCAAATTTTATAAAATCACATTATAACCTTTGCCACTTTAAGCATGGCCTCATTAAAATTAGCAATAATATTTAATAATAATGACGTTTGGCTAATTTTACACAACAAATGCCACAGTGTAACGAGTAAGGAAACCACTAATGCAAATGTCAAATTCAAATGATTCAATTATGTCTGTGAGTGTGGGCCAGGTGATGATTTGTCCGCCACTTGGTAAACCAATCCAGGCTCTCGCTGGAACTCGTTCTGTGTGCGCCCCGACTTGAGATGGGCCTCAGTAATTTCCTGCTCCAAGGGATGCTTTTATAGCCATTATTATAACTCTATTCCACTTGAAATATCTGCCATACTGGAGAGATATTACAGTCATATTTTCAGTACTTGCACCCCGATGTAGCCTTCAGTGTATGATAGCTTGAGAGGAATTGGTAAAAAAAAAAAAGAAAAAAGAAGTGATGGGTTTTTATGATCGCTCTGTTATTCGCTGTTGTGATTTTGCCGTGTTTTTTTAACATTTTTTATACTAAGCCTCTTACTGCTCGGTTAATAAAACTAAACTAGCAGTCGCAGTCATCTGGAGTAATAGGCTCAACTCATCAATTGTCATTCATGGGGTTATGAGCCTATTTGAAAATGGCTGCATAGCCTCAATTTTTTATTTATTTATTTTTTGCACAAAAGGGATTTAAAAAGAATACGAGTCATTTAGAGTGACACATTCATTCCAGATTAAGGGACGAAGGTGTTTTTCTTATTCATCCTTTTTTTTTCTTTTTCTTTTTTTTTTTTGAATAAACCACGTCCAGGCTGGGAAACAGTTGAGGCACCTATTTGTGCATGCAAACAGATGATGTCATTCTGAGTCATGGGTTGCAGGTTGTGCTTGGGCGCCCACCGCAGATCATCACGTTTTAGCTTCCTCCCTCAGACAGCTGGCATTTGCACTACAGGGAGCCACGAGGGCAAATAACAATTAGCCTTTTCTCCACAAAACCCCCGACACAGACTATAGAAAAATCACGAGAACTGCTTACTGAATGGGCATTATTACGCTAAGTACCCCTACAACTGTACAACTGCATTCAGGCTCCCACAAAAATGTTTCGCCCACTAATAAAAAATGTAATTAATGTGCAAATCGGTGATTTGTTTCCTTTATGTCACTCTTTGCCTTTGTTTGACACGGACTATTTCTCTCCATGATTACATTTGGCACGAGCGCTTTCCATTTTGGCATCTCTCCATTGACCAAAATTGGGGTGCAGTTGAAGGTAACTACGATGTTCCACAATTACGGAAGTGTGACATTTTCCCTGAACGCTTCAGAAATGGGCCTTCCTCTCAGCCGTTCATGCACGTCTGCTTGAGATTCACACTTTGGTGCGTTTGTCACTTTGAGAGCATCTGGTTTAATTTGATTTCTGTGCTTGGCCACCCTGCAATTCTCTGTGCTTTTAGTGTAACCGTTGCCTACTGAGTGCGGCCAACAGATAGTTCCACAAATAAAGGGGTTTAAACTTCTATTTTCTGGATGGCTTTTCCCCCAAAGTTGCAGCTGATTGGAAAAAAGGCCTGGGTTTTTTTTTGTTTTGTTTTGGTTTTTTTTGTCACCAGCTTCTCCAATTCTGTGGCAAAATCTTTTCCCATTGTTGTTGTGTGAATACATTTGTTTTAAACAGCAGACAAGTTTGTAAATGATGTTTACGATTAGTGTGAAGCTGGCTCACTTTTACGTATTGCTCTACAGTTACTGTGCAGACACTTTCTTAATGAATCTCTTTTAAAGGCACAGTGTGTAGGATTTTGTCAATTATTTTAGCCGAAACTGAGGTAATCACTAATGACAATAATAAAAAACATGTCTAATCATTGCAGACAAAGACCTTTTTTATTATTTTTACCTTATAAAAAGCTGTTTATATCTCCATGGTCGCGGGTCGCCACTACAGGCAGCCGCCATCTTGCACCGCCATCTTGTCTACGAAGGCTCATGAAGGACAAACTGCGGTGGCGGCGTCAAAAACGGTTTTAGTTGTAATACTATAAATGTAATACTTGTTGTCTGTCATTGTAGCTGGGATAATTTTACTTATTAAAGCTCATAATCTTACCACTTGAAACATCACTAGCCCTGAAGCTGCTGGTAGACATCGCGGTTGGAATTATCAAAGGTTTTTGACACCTGAGAGACACCGTAGCAACTCCTTTGCGTTTGGAAGCGGGGGGCGGGGGGTGGGGGGAGGACCAGGGAGGATGATTCAACCACTAGATGTCGCTGAAAACAACAAATCCTACACACTGTGCCTTTAAAGCCTATAAAGCATACTGCATGCATAGTCAACATTTGTAGATATTAGTTTACTTGTGTTATAAACTCCTGTAAAGTTAATACAGTTTTATAATTGAAAAATGTCTCTTTTTTTCATACTTTCAGACATTATCACTCAGATCCTTTGTTGTATTTTTCATGCCCTATAATGCTTCACATTGAGATTCCTTTCCAAATCTGCCTTTAACAGCCCTTCCTCTTTTTCTAATGCTATTTCATCTGCTCTATGAAAGCACGAGAGATATCACATCTTCTCCTTGTGAAATCTACAAGTGTTCAATCGTTAATTCAGTGTGGAGCTCTTTTCCTTTCTGTCTTACTTGCTCTCGCAGTTGAAAGGCTTCGTTTGACGTATCCCCCCTCATCTCCCCTCATTTTCTTCTACTGGGTATCCACTATAGGTGCTTTTAGAAATTGAAGCCTTTTTGCTGAATCAAATTAGGAAGCTGCCCACAGAGTTGTTTGCAGATTATTGCTTGTTTTTTTTCCCATGCCTTTCACACTATCTGTATACATGAACAGCATGCTGGAACTCCAGTTCAGTCTACCCCCCACAAATGCACCTCCAGAATGTTAAACATGGCTGCCGCGGCTACCTCCGAATTGCTGGACTGTGTCTCCTGGGGAACTGGGGGGGAAATTGAGCTCTGGCTCTTCCTAATAGGTGGTAAAGTGTTAAGTTCCAGAGAAATGGACTGCGAATTTAACCTGGAATGGAAATTGATCTCATTACCTTGCGCTTGGCTTGCTTTCCTCTCATAGGAAGGACGACCAGGAGACGTGGAGATGGGGCTGAACGCAGAGATGAGGCGAAGGAGAGCAGGAAATAGAAAGGGGGAAAGAAATCGAAAAAGAGGTGGATAGAATGGGGATAGGAAGAAAACAGATGGAGAGACAGGAGAATGGAAGGAAGAGAAAATAGAAAAAAAGGTCCCAAAAAAAGGGACACAGTATATGTGATTAGAGGTGATAGGATGGCAGTGGGGGTTGTCTCCTGCCTGGATTGACAGGCTGGCTGACTCTGTATCAGTGTGGCGCTAATAGCTGACCGCCACTGGGCCAGATGGAAAAGAGAAAGGAAAAGGCAGAAAAGGCAGAGGAATGGCACGCTTTGAGGGGATGATACACCTCATGCTGGGGGATTCCACCAACAGACCTGTGGTGTTTTTTTGTTGTACTTTTTTTGTGTGTTTTGGTGTGTAAAGCTGCTGTAAGACCAAGTTAGCAACGGTGATGGGATTTGGCATTTCTCAGTGTCAGGCTGTGGCTTTGAAAAGGTTTTTATTTATCTTTAACCCAGAAACAGAAAAGGCAATGTTTCAATACAACAATTTCTTTGACCCAACAACATTTTCTTGACTTTATTCTTCTTAATATTACTGAAACTCTCATCCACTTCCTGTAATTTTCTTATTAACTAACTTGATGTATGCTCATATGTCTTCCTTTGGTCCAGAGCCCATGCACGGCCCACAGCGTCTGGAAGTCGTCGACATCCAGTCCAAGCAGGTGACCATACGCTGGGAGCCACTGGGCTACAACGTGACTCGCTGCCACAGCTACAACCTGACCGTCCAGTACCACTCCAGGGTGGCTGGTAAGGAGGAGACCCGGGAGGAGGTGTGCTACGACGCTCAGAGCCGGGATCCTCAGCACACCATTCTCAACTTGACACCCTTCACAAACCTCAGTGTCAAGCTGGTCCTGCGCAACCTGGAGGGGGTCAAAGAGAGCACCGAGCTGGAGGTTCAGACTGATGAGGATGGTGAGTCAAAAAGAACGGAAACATGTGTCATAATGCATTATTTGACCTGGAAAATGATGGTGTTCCACCACGGAGGTGCACAGAATAAGTAGCCAGCAGCCAGAGAAATTTGCTGTGTAAAATCTACAATTAGCTGCATTTTTGATGGCTACTTTTGCTGCAGCTCAGTATCGTTGATCAGGGATGATGACATGATAATTTTTGGGAATCACGGATGTCAGACAAACTTTGCATCGGACCGCATACATCATGCCTGAATCCAAAGATTTTTCTCATGTAAACAAAAAAGGAAGATGGCATTCTAGGTACCAAAACTGAGTATGATTGTGTAGAGCAGTGGTGTCCAAAGTCGGTCCTCAAGGGCCGGTGTCCTGCATGTTTTAGGTGCTGCTCTGGTTCAACACAGCTGAACCTAAGGTGTGCTTCATTAGTGGGCCTCTGCAGACTTTGATGGCAAACTGAGAAAGTAAAAGCTGTGTTGGAACAGGGACAAATCTAAAACTTGCAGGAGACATACCTGGTGTAGAGGGATGCAGCAACACACAACTAAAGCGTTGGCTACAATGTAGAGGACTGACAATGTCTGGCAACCGCATTGAAAAGATAAAAATGTAAGTGTTTTGTTCCTGCATTGTTATCTGGCGTTAGCCGTTAGCTGTTAGCAAGCTATGTTCTCTGCCCTAGAGAAACATGTGAATCAGTATTATTATTTAAATAACTGCATGACCAGGAAGCAGAAGTAAGTGCTAAAATAGACGCATTTACGTGGGCAGTTTGAAAACAAAGAGAAAAACATTCAGCTACTTTCTTGTTTCTGTTCACGGTCTTCAGTTGCTGGTATGGGGTCAGGGTGCACCTTTGTCGGTCTGTTTCTTCCAACAAAGTGTTTTGAACAGATGTAGGCACTCCTCTACACATTTTTCCTGTCGAAGGCAACTCAGCCATAGAATCAAATCCAGTGATTACATTTCCCTCCCTGAGTAATCGGTAGGGAAATGGCAAACACCAAATGCCTTGCACAGGAGATTTGTCAGCATATCGGGTGTCACTACTGAAAGTAATGCTTTACGATACCATTTTTAAGCTCTTTGTTGTCGATGCAAACCACGACTTCAGCACTGAACTCAGTTGTAGCTGCAGTTCAGCTTGATTGACATCCAGGGACATGCTGACATTATATTTTGTAGGGAGCTATTTTTAGTAACTTTGACCAACACTGTCATACTGGGAAGTGGGAATCCCCCACTTACAAGTCATTACTTTAAGCTGGATCGCCCCTTCATTTTGAATTCTCTGTCAGAAAGTGGGTAAATTCTAAATTAAAGACGACAGCTTCTCACCACAACTCAACAGTGAGCAAACCTCTCTTTCTTTTACCTTTAATATTATTTTTGTGTTTATTTAGTCAGTTGTACAGATAGTACTTTTCAATGTTTGTAAAAGGATGTGTCACAACACTGTTTCTATGCAGGAAATAACAGGTAGAGCTCAGGTTTTTTATGTTTGTTAGCAGTGCTCAACCGTAGTAATGAGACAAGGAGGTTTGAGACGTTTCGTGTTTAGTTGAAGTTAAACAAATAGTAAAAACTTCTCACCTGATTAAAAAAACATCAAAAAAGTTTGGATTTTTTTTTTCAGAAGAGCTGGAGTTAGACATGTGTTGTATTGCTGTTGCACCTCCTTCAAAGATGAAAGCCCTTCTGTGTTGCCTCAGCAGACACAGGAAATGAACTCCACAGAAGTCTCTCTGGCCGCCAGATAACAAAACAAACTCGGCTGACGAAAAGAGAGTCGCGTCTGTCTCAGATATCTCTGGTTGGAAACTTAAAAATGGCAACTGCTTCTTGCTATCTGACTGCCTTGGAAGTCTGTGTGTGAATCTGTGTGTTTAGTTTCCCAGTGGGGAGAGTTTACAGACAGGGTGTAGTGGTTGTTCAAGATAAATCTTAGAGAATAAAAAAAAAAACATTCACATCATTCTGCCCCACTTTCAGAATGAAACCAATTCACATGAGAGGTTAACGGGCCAAATCGCGTATCTTGGTACATGTAAACACTGCTGTAAAAGTAGGATTACAAGTAAACCTTTGTTTTTAATGTGGTTTTACTTGTATGAAGTGTTTTGTTTTGCTGTAAAATATATATCAGTTTTCTATAGGTTGCAGTGACTTCAAATAACCACACAAATTCTTATTAAAATTTGTTTAATTTGGATCATTTGTATATTGAAGGCCCTCAAAGTCTTTTTATTTCTTATCTGGCCTGACTTTTTTAAAAAGCAGATGAATACATTTTGTACAGAAAAGCTTTTAACTGATTAACTTGATATTTTATTTTGTGTCATTGTGTTTTTTCTGTGTTTCTTTGTTTTAGTTTGTTTTATCTTTGAAAGCTGATATATAAAGAAATGTGTACTTACTTATTTTTAAAAAAGTTGTGCAAGATTTATGCCATTAGGTCAAGACATGTATTTGCATGATTTAAAGCTGATGCAAAAATAAATAGCATTTCCTGTGAAAATGCAGTATCGATGCAAAAAATGCTTAAAACATGTGTAAATTAGCTGACAAAAGCTGAAATAGGCAGTAAAATACAGGGGTTAGACAATGAAACTGAAGCACCTGTCATTTTAGTGTGGGAGGTTTCATGGTGGCCAATCTTTATTAATTGCACATTGCACCAGTAAGAGCAGAGTGTGAAGGTTCAATCAGCAGGGTAAGAGCACATTTTGGCTCAAAATATTGCAATGCACACAACATTATGGGTGACATACCAGAGTTCAAAAGAGGACAAATTGTTGGCGCACGTCTTGCTGGAGCATCTGTGACCAAGACATCAAGTCTTTGTGATGTATCAAGAGCCACAGTATCCAGGGTAATGTCAGCATACCACCAAGAAGGACCAACCACATCCAACAGGATTAACTGTGGACGCAAGAGGAAGCTGTCTGAAAGGGATGTTATGGTCTAAAAGCAGGTGTTTCACTTTCATTGTCCAACCCCTGCAACTGAATAGTAGCTGTGAAAGAAGTAAAACACTAAAGATAAAAAAATGTCAAAGCACGTTGTGACAACCCGCTCGTTTTTTTTTTTGCTGGTTGCACTGTTTCCTTTCTCTTTCTGTCCCTCCTGCCCTCATATTTTGGGATACGCCCTGGTTTCACCGTGCTTCTCAGGGACTCACCTCATTGGTTATCAGAGCCAAGGTGTTT